GGTATTTTCTGAGACTTCTAGGACATTGTAGAGAATTTCAAGAGAGTTCAAGATATTCAAGAAAAATATAGTATTTTCAGAATGTTGTAGAAGCATATGCAATAATTTAGAAATATCTAAAATAATATAAAAAGATATAGAAAGTTTTAGAACCTTATGGAGAAATTAATGTAAAAAATTTTAAAATATTTTGAGATATTATAGGATGTTTTAGGATGTGTCAAACATATATTATATTAAAGTAAGTCTCCAGAAATGTTCATATAAATATTTAGATATTTTTTTTGTAAATATTTCTGTAGAATATTCTAGAAAATGAATATATATTGTTAAATTAGATTGATCTCCATCCTCTACTAAGGTGTTGGGAAACTTATAAAAGATTGGCAAGATTTATAAATACTTCCAAACTTTCATTTGTCGTGAACAAGCAATGAGTAGAGTAATAAAGTTCTCAAATTCTTTCATGCAATCTCCACCTTCTCTTGTATTTTAAGTATTCTAACTTCTCTGCCCACGCTTAGTGACAAATCTACGGGGCCTCACTTTTAAATGAAATTTCAATTATAACCCCACTAAAACAATTTCACGATTCATCTCTACCCATAACATAAAGGTTTTTTATGATTTATCCAAAATTAAAAGGGTGATCAAGCTAAGGCTAACACAATTTAAGAAAGATGAATTTCAAGGCCATAACAATAAGCTATATATGTAGATAATTTTTTAATGTACTTTTGCAAATTAGCTCCTATATTTAGAACTAGAGACCATAGATACATACATGACTTTTTTGTGGCCGTACATTCACGTATTACCACAATACTCCTTCCATTTAAAAATATAAAATATTTTCAATCAAATTTCATCTCAATAAAATAATTACCTACTTTTCAATTAACCCTATCTTTTTATATTTATTCATATTAAATATCTTACAATAAATATAAAATCATTATCAATAGAGGCACTTTTGAAAAAAAAAACAATGATTACAATTCAAAAGATTAAAATGTATTACATTTTTAAACATTCAATTTCTTAAAAAATGTCTTATATTTTTAAACTGGGAGAGTAATATTTAAGATAAAGGGAAACATAAAACCCCTTGTCAGCACTTTTTTTTTTTCTGTTGTCCCTGTCCCTGTATGATCAATTTATCTTTTAGAATTACTTTATTTCAAAACTTTAATATATGATTTTGTAGTTCAGAAAAGTTAAAAAAATATGCTAAGATATATATATTAAAGAAGCAATTACAAACATTAGGCCTCACTACTAATTTAGTTTATAGGGTTAGAAATAATGATTTATAAAATTTTTAGAAGGTGTAATAATTCCTACATTTATAATATATATTAATATATTTTATCATGCTTACTATAAAAAGGGGTGATTTAATTTATTTTTATCTTAATTTTTTAATTTATTTTATGACATTTTATTCTAATAAGTAAACATAACATTAATTTATATCTCAAAACTTCTTTAAACCGTCCCAATGACTTCACTGTTGTGCTTGTATTTGATTTACTAGGTATGCTGTATGAGAAACCAGGGTGGTCCTTTCTTCTTTCTTAATTTCTTTTTCTTTTTCCTTTTTTTTTTCCTTTTTGGTAAAGTAATTAGTTGGTTCGTTTTTCATAGTGTACTATAGTAGTATTTGGGAAGAGATCCTTAAAGTTATATACTCTCTCATTTTAAAAATATAAAATATTTTTAATTGAATCTCACCCTCTATCAAAGTAATTACCTATTTTTAAATTAACTATATCTTTTCATATTTATCTTTATTAAAAACTCTACAATAAATATGAAGTCATTCAAAAATATTTTTAAAAATAAGATAATGATTATACTTTAAAAAATTAAAAAATATTTTATATTTTTAAATATTTAACTTTTTAAAAAATATTTTATATTTTTAAATATTTAACTTTTAAAAAAATATTTTATATTTTTTAATGGAGGAAGAATTTTTTTTTTTTGATAAAATGAAATCATATATAATTTAGTTATGTAGTTTTATTTGCGAAGAAAAATATTATAAAATATAAACTAAATAAAAAAAAATAAAAACTACACCATTACGTCACTGCTGAGTATGTGCAGGAAAGACAAATAATGAATGTACTTTCTCAAGTCTTATCCAATGACACAGATTTTGAGACTTCTTTGGTGACGTGATGTCATTTGACGCAACATTTTTAGTCTTAATTTAATATGACTTTTATTTTTAAAAAATGTTACAATTATTTCTCATTATTATCAAGTAAAAATATTTAATTAAAAATTCTACATGACTCATTAATATGATAAAATAAAATTATTGCCTTTATAATGGAAAATTAAACAAGTTAAAAAAAACAGAAGTAAAGAGATTAAACTAGAAGCAAATCAAATTCCAGGATAAAAATAAAAAGTAAATCAAATTAATAATTAGAGATAAAAATTCAAAATTATTGTAAATTCAAGGGATAAAATAATATTTTAGGTTACTTATAAATTAATGAATCGATTGAATTCCCTCTTTGAGAATTTATTATGTGTTGCGCCAATAATGATTTTATTGATCATAGCCTAAACTAATTGCATATGTTGGTGTATATAGAAACATGTTTTTGTTTAATTTTTTGTATCGGAGATAAATGGTTTATTTTCAAAATATGATGAACAAAAATTTGAATCTCATGAGAGAATTAGAATTTGTTTGTTTTCTATTTTTAAAATTTATTTTTAAAAAAATAAAAAAAAAAATTTCTTTGGGTAAGTCTTTTTTCATTTATTTGTTTTTAAAAATTTTTTTATTTTTTGTTTTAAAAAAAAGAATAAAAACAATTTTAAGTTGTTTTTGTTTTATTTTTTTATTTTTAAAATACATTAAATTTAATTATTAAAAATTATAGTTATCTTCATCAACTTTTATTAGTAATCATCACTATTAACTACTTATAATTATCACTATCAGTCTATTTTTAAATTTTAAAACTATTTTTTAATTGATATAATCAAATGAATTTTTTATTTTAATTTTTTTTAAAATAATTTAAAAAAATGTATTACAAAACAGCTTTTAAAAATAAAAAATAAGAACACAAATTAAACAAGCCCTTGCTCACATTTAATACTTAATTTAATTAATACATCAAATAAAATTACTTTCAATAAAAAAGTATAGCTGCAACAAGTAATGAAAAAAGGTTTTATCCTTCACCAGCAAAATGATTTCTGCATTCATAAGTTTTTAATTTTACGCCCAGGATGATTAGTACATCATATGGCCTCTAAAAAATAATAATTAAAAGATACTCACATATTACCATGAAATTAAAAAATATATATACATATTACAGTTGAAAAGTGTCGTGTTGCCTCCGCGTCACATTTTTCTTTTTTTAATAAAAAATGATGACATTCCGTTGACCATAATGGGACGGCTAATGCTGCAAAGTAGCGCTTTTTCTTTAGAGCCAACGGTCACACATTTTGTGTTGATAAAATATTAAAAAAAAAAAAAAACATATTCCTCCTGCTAGTCTGCTACCCTCGTAAGTCGGTCATGAGTTTTTTAAAGGCAAAATGATAAAAAAAAATATTGTTAAATAGAGTAATAAAATATCATGAAATGAAATTATTATTAGTTAGTTTTTAGGTTAACATATAATTTTATCTCTAAACTGTTTGTTGAGCAATGCTATTCTTAAAGTAATAATATTTCTCCAAAACTAATCAAAGGTGAACAATGTTACCTCCATCATTTGAAACCCGAACGACCATTAACATAGTGAGAAAGAGAGGAGTTTGAAGGAGGGGGTCTCCTTCATACATAAGTGTTGCGCCATTCTTTGCTGTGAATTTTAGAACAAGATGATGCCTCACACGTGCTCAAAGTGTGGCACCAATGGCCACAACTCCCGAACATGAGCTGCTGGCAACAACGGCGCTGATGAGAACAGTATGTTACTGTTCGAAGTGTGAGTCACACAAAGGAACTCTGTTTAGTAAGAGCGCTAGCATGACCGATCTATCCATATACAAGCAGCCACCACCTCAGGATCCCAACGCCGACGCCAGTTATATGATAGATTTATGCAGGCTTTATTTGGTTTGGGTTTGGGGGTTGAGTATTTGGTGTTCTGATTGCTAGGTATCGTGTGGGTGTTTCATAGAGCAAGTTCAATCTATATATTACCGACTCTACTTAATGCAAGCAAGTCGATGTGTGTAGTGGCTCTATGAAGTATGGAAGCCATTCTTTGGTATCTCAGAGAACATGTTATCCGAAAGTTTCTTTTTCATTTATGGAAGATAATGCAAGTGGGTAATTTTGTCCCCAGCTGTTAGATGCATGAAAAGAAGACTGGAAATGATATTCTAAAACTATTAATTCCCTAGAGGTTGTTTGGCATAATCGAATGATGGAGAATGGTAACGAAAGTCATGAACAACTATGAGCAAGTGATGAGGATCTTATTCGTGTGAGGTGCAGCGTTTGATTCAACGTAATTGGAGTGTAAAGATTGCACAAGTTGATCGCTGTGCTAATCATCTGCTTATTTCTTTGCCAACGATATGGCTCTGCATGGCGTTATTTAGTTTTATTTCTTCTTGTTTTATTAAAAATAAAACAAAATTGTGGAGTTCAAAAAGTTATATTTGAATTTTTCATCATTATTAATTTTTGTTGATCTAGAGAAGTCAGTTACATTAGAAATATACCTTTTTAACTATGATACAGAATATGTTGATCGATTTTGATGTAAATAGCAGATTTATTCAAGCTGTACAGAGACTTATATATGATAGTTGAGATATACAATTTTCACATACATATAAAGATGATAATTTTTATGCTAACTAGTTAACAAATTGAAGTCTAACTTAAGAGCATGCCTTATAGTTACTTAATTCTTCTTCTGAAAGGTGAATAGAGTTTCTATACAAGGATTGATAGAGGTAGAAGAGAAAGAGGGAGCGAGAGGAGAGGCAGAAAGAGAATATAAAGAAAGAGAAAGATTAATTCCATTCATATCCATCCATTACAACCTAAAGACCTATTTATAAAAAATATACTAAATACCCAAACTATCCTTATATTTCTAATTCCCCTAATATTCCTAAATCTCATGCATCAATATTCCTCCCAACAAGAGATCCTTGTCCTCAAGGACCAGTACAAAAGCAGAAAGTTAAAATATATATATATATATATATATAAAATAAGACTTCTTTGGTTTTTTTTTTTCTTAAGTTGCTAAAACTTGTAAAATAAAATAATTTAAGAACAAAATTAATGAACATCAAAAGCCCATATTTTCTGCAGTTTTCCTTCAATATAGAAGCCCATTGTCACCCTCCAAATAAAATTGTTGATCCTAAAAATTAATGAGTAGAGGATCCATAATTGTTTAACAGGTCCATACTCCGCCCACCAAAAGCCCATTTTCAGCCCAACTTCACAAAGCTCCTCTTGATTATAAGTTAACCCCACTTTAGAATTGTTGGAAAATAACCCATGGAAGGCGCTCGAGCAGCTAAAATGTTGCAAAAATGCCCATAATTGCATTTGAATCACACTTAAAACAACGGGTCCCATATATTGGCATTGAAGCATGCTTGTCCAGAGGCCCACTTTAGGCTTCCAATTACTACTCAAAGATATCACCATTGGATCGTTTTGGAAAGGCCCAATTTCATTGCCTTTAGTCACCCGAAGTAAATTAGGTGCGTTTTCATTACCTTTGCTGCCACGTGGGGAACAACTGGAGGAAATCTGGAATACACCTGGCAGTAGCAGTATTGAGCAACCTGATCGTGGAAACGCACAATAGATGCATGTCCTGCCCACTAAAGAAGATTCCAGAAACTTGATAGAAAATCCGCGACCCGCAACAGCCAAACTCGCGAGTCGCGAAACTTGTATGCGTGCTTGAATTGGAGATCCAAAATCCACTTCCCTAAACATCCACGCCGCTTTGATGACCCTGTACATGCGTCCTGTTCATTTCACTATGCAGATAGACCTCAGACCCAAGAAAAAATCCGAAAAACCCGAATTCCGTAATCTCTTTGCGAGCACCACTCGACCCAATGTCTTCAACAGCCCTACCCGCCTCGCGAATAATGTTTCTGTCCGATTCTACTCTAGGTCGTCCTCGGCTGCCGATTAATATTCCTCCTTCCGTGTCGTGGTTAGAGCTTCGGAAGTGAGCCAATGATCTGGACAGTTTCGAAACCTGAAGTATCCAGCATCCGATACTGATTTGTCCAAAGCCACGGTAGTAGGCGTCAAGTTTCTGATGTGGAATGGAGACTTGTGAAAAACGTAGAACCACAGGTGGTGATAGTGACTGGAGTGTTGGTGCTCGAGTTGATGGTAGATGTGTTGGCGGTGAAAGGCCAAGAAGACACACGGAAAAAAGAGAGTCAAAAGTTGAAGTCGGAGAACCATTTGACATTTTCACAGCTCTATGTGTCTCCATCTCTTCGCTATCTTGCTTCTGTTGGTCTTCCGTAATGTGTGCAATGACATCGTCCAATTTCATGGCATTGACATTCCCTGTCTCAGTCAGTTCATCCATCATCTCCTCGTCAATAAGGGTGAGTGTTGAGCCGGTACTAGCCTCGTTGATAAGTGGCTCATCCGTGTCTTTCTCCTTCATGTCGAATGCTTGTTGCTATGAGTACTCGTTCACGATTGCAGTAGACACAGAGGTAATCATCAATGGGTGCAGGTGCTGGTTGATAAGCAAAGAGAGCTTAGCCCAGATTTCTTGCATAAGCTGAGACATGGTTTGCTTTATCCCAATGATATCGTGAGTACGCCGTGCCAATGTCTGCTGGTTGCGTTGAAGCAAAGATGTATGTATCTCCAAACGGTGGTCAACGGTGCCAATGCGTTCATTGGATCGGCTCTCCAGCAGAGCCATGGCCAGAGAAATGGCTCTGATACCTTTAATAGGGGTAGAAGAGAAAGAGGGAGAGAGAGGAGAGGCAGAAGAGAATAGAGAGAAAGAGAGAGATTAATTCCATTCATATTCATCCATTACAATCTAAACACCTATTTATAGAGAATATATTAAATGTCTAAACTACCCTTATATCTTTAATTCTCCTAATATTCATAAATCCCATGTATCAGGGATACTATGGGTACGATCTCTGTGTAGTTTTCTAGGCCATTTCTAATCACCCCCCGGGAGGGGGGGATATATTGATCACTATATATAATCACAATTTTTAAATTTATCAAACGGAATACAACACATATTTTACAACAAAAATAAAAAAAGCCACATAATTTGAAAACTCATCAGAAGAAATAATAACAATTTGCTCATATTCTGATTTCAAGCGAGAAAGAAGAATTTGAACAAGGGAAAAGAGAACCTGTCTGAGATTTTAGTTCATGCATCTAAGCTGTAATAGAAACTGCACATTTAAAAAAAAAAAAACTGTAAATAAAACTTCCTCTTCCTCAATTTTGAAAGACTTGTGCCACGAAATTCACTCACTGCTTCTAGTGACAATATCAGCTTTAGGCATTAGATGGTGTAAGGACTCCAAGAATCCCAAAGCCACCCAACATGCTGATCAACATGCCCATGAAATTGAGCAATATTGCCTCAAAGGAATAGCGTGAGATTACCTTCTGGACTTGAAGGAATGTATAACCTTTTCTAAGATACCTGAAGCGGCTGTAGCTACAGCCATGCCATATATAAAGATCCCGAAGAAAATATGCCTTGATAAGGGAAAGAGTTTGTTATTTGTCGAGCCTCCTGGGAACCAGAACGCTGTGAATCCAGCAACCACCTTGACAAACATTACAGCAGTAAGTGAGTCTGAGACACTGTCCAAGACCAATTCACTCAAAAGGTTTAGAAATTAAATGAAGATCCATGAATAGTTTTATCATTGACTTGGGATCAAGCTTAGGTGTAATTTTTCATGTTTGCTGTTAGGTTCTTCAATAGAAACATCACATAAAGATATTTTTAGTCCTGCATGGTTAATCAGTTTTTAAAAAAAAAAAGTTATGTCTGTGTAAAGAATGTTATGCATGTTTTATCCTTTAACTATAATTTCTAAATTTCTTACGCCTTTTCACATGAAAATCCTTTGAGTTCAAAGCAAGGAAAAACAGCTCACTTTCTAAACACTTGCCAATTCTCATCCAAGTTCATAAACAGTTTCAATAAAATCTCAAACAAACATCATATTATGCCAAAGTCTAATCAATTCAGAGGTTTATGCTATTAAGTGAAAGTCCATGAATAGTTTCAATAGAATCTCTAATAGATGCAATAATAAAATCCAAGTTCAGGTGTAAAAAGTATAGCTCGTTATCCAAGGCCCAAGGGCATGGACGAATGGAAAAAGATACCTAGGCTTTAGGGCTTACCAGAAAGTGAAAAGAAAAAAGAAAAAGCAAGATACCTGGATAGAGAACAAGAGAATACAAGCTAGACCCAGCCATGAATGCAGGCTGTAGAAATTCTCAATGCCTCGTCGTTATGATACTTCCAAGCAGCCGATGCACCAATCAAACTTAAAATAAGAGAAACTAATTGTAATGCGAGATGAACTGCTTTTTTAAAGTCTTTTCATCCTGGTAACGACTTGTATGCAAGCATTTCTTCACGAAATCATAAAGAACACGAGGGTATTCGTTAAGCACAAACTTGATAGGAAGGGTAACTCAGAAATTACCAAAGGATGAATTGGTACAGAAATCACTGTTTGGAAACTACAGAAAGAAGATGGAGTTAACTTGAGTTGCTAAGATATACTTTTGAACAAAGCAGTTAAAAGCATTTTGAAGGTACTGGCTAGCCTGCCAATCTTGTACCGCATTATCTAGCCAGAACAAAAATAAAATCATGCCGTCCTCCTGCTTCTGGCTTTTCTCAAGTCAGAAAAAAGGCTTCTTCCCTCGTTTAGGGAAAGCAAAACTATCCCCAGTGCCATCAGCCTTTAGATGCCAAAACTATTATAGACAGATGACAGGAAACATCCAATATTCATATGCTCATTTCTCAATTTTAGAGGTAATGTTAGGGGGATAAGTTATAAGGATATAATGTAGGGCTTTCGTGGCATAATTTTGCCATACTCCACTCAGCACACCGAAGATTATAAGAGCTAATTTAGCAGACACGTGACCTTCGAATCTATAGCTGATGGGGGATAATTTAAAAGACATGACTTTCAGCCCTTGAGCTATGTAATTTTAGATGTTGCATGGTTAATTGACATGGTCATGATCTAACGGTAATACACATAGCAAATTCTCTACCCAACTTCTGGGGGCAGGGACGAACGAGAACAACCAGAATCCAATCAACATAACTTGTCCATTAGATACCTTATAATCCTTTTCCAGGACCTACTGCTTCCTATAAATTTATCTATTTATACAAGCAAGGACGGTCAACAAGCCCAAAGAACTGAAAAGTGTTTCTCTTTCAGGAGGAAGGGCATGAGGAATGGACCAGTAAAAGTGCATTTTGCGCTAACAAATATGAACACTAATCAAAAAGTCTAACACAATTTTTCGTATGATTTGTTGCATTACTTGAAGTAAGAACAACCACAACTTTAAGTTACTCCAGTTGATGGCTGATGAAAATATCGTGTTGGTAAATTTGCTTCCACTAAATCACTTCACGTCTTTATTGCTCTTATCAGAATATCAATCACAATGGAATGGCAATGCGAGTCCAGAATGAGTACTGCCTCCTAGCTTGTGAAGTAGTTTTTTCTGTGGACTCCTTTTCTTAGCTTTCAATGAAATGATTTAGTGGAATCAAATTTACCAACACGATATTTTCATCAGCCATCAACAAAATGGTCAACAAACAAATTAACTCAAATGTCATTTCCATCTAACTGTGCAATCAAAGAAAAGGAATCCACAGAAAAAACTACTTCACAAGCTAGGAGGCAGTACTCATTCTGGACTCGCATTGCCATTCCATTGTGATTGATATTCTGATAAGAGCAATAAAGACGTACTTTCTCAGCCTCACTCACCATTCTATGTTAAAATGACTGATTTCTTGAAGTTAAACTGCTACAAGCAAAGAGATAAGAACAAAAAAGAAGCCTAGAGACAGCAAAAGAAACTGTAAGAAATGTCATTACGGTAGGATGAAAGAACCCAAAATTAGGATCTCACACCTAGAATCCAATACAATCCCTGCAAGGCAAATTGGAAACCCCATTCACCGCAGTCCCAATACGAATAGTCATTATTCAATTATTCACTCCAAGCTTCTCAATTTTTTTATTCACCATTCTTCCATAACCAATTCGGTTCCGTCCAAAATCAAATTTTAATCCCACGGAGTCAGCTCATTTCTCCTCAACAACGATTTGCGTTCTATCGAGACCACAATAACATTAATTAATTTTCAAGACGAGACAGAGGGGGAGAGAGAAATACATTGAAAATTAGATCTTTTTGGTGGGAAACGAAGGCGAGGCCTCCTCTGAAATGCAGAACCCAGGTGATGAAGACGCCAATGACTCGCACTGTCAGATAGATCGGAAACTTCGCCACTGGCGGAGAAGCCATTTCTCTGTTCTGCAGAGAGACAGAGTGATATTACTGAGTGTGTACTGAGTACTGACTTGTTCAATGCAATCGCCGCTGCCGCAGATCAGGGAAAGGAGTATTATACTCCTGAAAACTGGTGAGTCAAGCACACAGAGACAGTCCAGTTCTTCCTGTTTCCTGCAATCCTTGATATTCTTCAAATGAAATAATGTGGTAAAAAGCAGAAATTGACCCACTCCATTTATTTATTTTAAGTTTTGTCCCCTTCTAGAAATAAAACATATATTTTTTTATTAAAAAATATAAAGTACATCCTATTAAATAAATATAAATATAAAAAGACAGAATTATTTAAAAATAAATAATTATTTTATTTAGAGTTAAGATTCGATTAAAATTATCTTATATTTTTTTAATAGAGATAATATTTTTTAATTTATCACCTACTCTTGATTCAACAGATAAAAAAATTATATTAGTTTTAAATGATGTTTCCTACCCTCTGCTTAGAATGAATGGAACAATATTGATGGTAGAGTTTTCATGAAAAAAGATCTACCTCAACTCAATCTTGATTAGTCTGGTCTTGATATTAGCTTAATGTGGAATAAATTTAAGATACTAGATATTCTATGTAAAATTTAAGATACTAGATATTCTATGTAAAAGAGCAGTCCCTTTGTTCCAAATTTTATAAGACAACTACAAAAATTTTGTTATTTAAGAATATAAGATATTTTGAAAAAAAATAAAATTTTATTAACAGTATTTTTTTCAATACCACCTAGTAAAAGAAGAATCTAAATGATATTGTAACATAATGGTAAAGTATATATAAACATTTTTAAAAATTTATAAGTTTATTTTAAAAAAGTAAATGTTATTATTATATTTTATTGATATTTATAATATTATTTTAAATTATCTTATAATTTGACATAATAGTATAATAGAGTATTCCTTAACTTTTTTCTTTTTTCTTTTTTCTTTTAAGTTTGGGTGTCGTTAAACCCCTTCAATTCAAAGTGGGGCAACTGGGCAAGCTTTAGCTCGGGTTGGTGTTATTACGCGGGAAAAAAATACTCTTTAATTTTTTAAATTAAAAAAGTTCTCATTGGTTGCAATATTTATATGTGGTAAATATTATGATTTCCTCCATGAAACCACTTGTAATGCTATAATTTCTAATCCCTATTTTTTAAATATTGATGTAATTTATGAACTTTAACTTAATATAACTCAACCTTTATAATTTATTAGGTTAAGGAATTTTAGGGATCTAGTTGTATTGAATTTAAAAATTATAAAGGTTGAATTATCTATTTTGAATGAGAGTTCAAAAATTAAATCAATAAGTGAAAAAAAGTTATATAATTCAATCACATCACATGTATGTGAGTATAATACACCGTTTCATATATACAACGGAGACAATTTGTTTCATAATTAATATTTATTTTTTGTAGCCTAACAGAACACATAGCAAAATGTGTTTTTTTAATACAACATAGTGCCTTTTTTGACCCAGTTTTTTGGTTGGCGACGATGAAACATCAGCAAAAAGTGCAATGTTTTCTTGAATTGGACTATACGATAAGGTTAAAGCATGAAGAAACGACACCATTTAGCTTTTCCCCATAGGATGGTGAATTAAGTATGCAATATTTATTAAATTGGAAGGAAAGCAAAGCTTATTGACGCACCTATATTCATTTTGATTGGATCAATACGAAACTCAGTGGGATATTGTGGCGCCAACTCTGCCATTGTTGTTCGTTGGAGGAACTCAGAAGCTGCAGTGGTGGAGATGACAATCCTACCACACCATAATGATGAAATTTACCACTATTATTTATTTCTTATAAACAGGTTTGGAAGTAGTATTTTCTGATTTGTATGATACTCTCCGGTCTCAGGTGCAGAAGCTAGCTGGGAGTCTTGTTTTCATTCTAAAGACAAAATGTAAGATATCAATTTCCTTTATTTTATTATGCATGATGTTATAATCTGTGTTCAGAAAGGAAAGAAAAAGAAAAACTTTCAAGGTTAAGGTGATTTTACTTTTTAGAGACTTTCATGACATTGTAGAGAATTTTAAAAGAATCCAAGACATTTAAGAAAAGCTTGGTATGTTTTGTAATATTTTAGAACAAATCTATAAATATTTAGAGTAACTTAAAAGGTTCCAAAAACTTACTAAGAAATGTAGAGATGTCTAAAATATTTTAAAATGTTTTAAAACATTTTCAGGTATGTCTTGAAATTGGCATACAAAAATATCATTGTAAATATCTAAATATTTTTTATAGATATTTATATAAAATATTTTAGAGAATAGATATATAATGTTGGATTTGATTGATCCCCACCATTAATTAAGAAGGTAAGAAACTTTTAGAAGATATAAGAGGTTTATAAATACTCCCAACCCCCTCATTTATAACAAATAAAGTAATAAAACTCTCAAGTTCTATCATTCAAGCAGGAGCTCTCTTATGTTTTAAGTGTTCAAATTTCTTTGCCTACATTATGAAAGTTCGATTGATTTAGTCAAAATTAAGAGAGTGCAAGCTAAAGCCAACACGATTTAAGGAAGTGGAGTTCCAAGTAGGGGTGTTCAGTCTGGATCCGTCCCGACTGGCCCGATATCATCCCGATCATATCGAAACGGGTCTTATCTCGGCTCGAAAATAATCAAGACGGGACAGGAAAGGGTTCGGGACAGGACGGGACACGGAATTACCATCGGAACGTCCCGTCCAGACCCGAATATTATATATATTATTTTTTATTTTAAATATATTAATTATATTAATATAATTTATACTTATATTAATTATATCAATTATAATTTTAATACTTGTAATTCTTATTTAAAACTAAATTTTTTTATAGTGATAATTTTAATGGCATGGAGTAAACATAGCAATATCTTTCTTTATAATATATTAATTATATTAATATAATTTATTCTTATATCTATCCATTTAATAACTTTTATTTATAACCTATTTCTTGCTTATTTTTAGAACAGTAATTAGCTTAGTACATCTTCACAAAAGTAGAAGAACAATGATTTGATGTTATGTTTGACTTGCCTGTTGTTGCTAATTTTATAGCATAAAGATCACTTGTATTTATTATTATAATATGTAGTTGTAATTAATATAATTCAATAACTAATTTTAAATTATTGTTATTTATGTGCTTGTGTTGTTTTGATTTTAAACTTAATAAATTATATAATTTAAAATTTTAATGAACGTTATTATTTAGATCTTTTTTCGATATTATTCCATTTATCGGGACAACGGGACATCTCGATCTTATCCCAGTCCAGTCCTAACTCTTAACGGGACGGGACGACTTTTGGGACGGGACGAGACACGGGACTAAAATTCAGTCCTGATCTTTTTTTCAGGTCGGGACACGAGACAGGAGTGTCCCGGTCCTGTCTTGTCCTGTGAACATTCCTAATTTCAAGATTGTGACGACCCCTAATTTCAAGATTGAGTCATGAGTTTAGTCACGTAATGTCATTTGACACAACATTTTTACTCTTAATTTAATATGACTTTTATTTTTAAAAAAATGTTTAAATTGCTTTTCAACATTGTCATGTAAATATATTTAATTAAAAATTCTACATGACCCATTAATTAGATAAAATACTTAATTTCCATATCAAAGATAAATGTTTTATCTTTAAAATATGACAAATTAATAAAAGTACATTTCTTGAACCTCACGAAAAAAGTATTTCTATTTACTGTTCAACTTGATAATACTTCAAACAAAATTATTCTTAATAAAAAATAGCTACAACAAATAATAATAAAAAAAGTCTTATCCTCCACTGACAAAATGATTTCTACATTCATAATTTTTAAATTTTACGCCTAGGATGATTAATTCATCATATGGCCTCCGAAATATAATAATCAAAAGATACTCAGACATTATCATGAAATTAAAAAAGAAAAAGACTATTACAGTTGAAAAGTATTGTGTTGCTTTCGCGTCACATTTTTCTTTTTTAATAAAAAATGAAATGATGACATTCCGGGGATCATGACGACTGATGCTGCAAAGCAGTGCTTTTTCTTTAGAGTAAAATATCACAGGACATTACTCTTTTTTTAAAAACGTTAATTTATTAAAAAATACAGCATACCTTTTTTATAATAAAAATCCTCTCCAAATTCTTTTAACTTGAGATCTGATAGCTCCTCTAATTAATTCATGACACCTCTATCACAAGTGACTTATTAGAGGGCCCATCAATTAGGTAAATTCAAATTTAATTTTGATATCATTTTATCACGAAATCATTATTGTATCTCTAAATTAACTCATTGAAATATATAACGCACCTGCTTATATAGTTAGGACCCTTCCCAAGTCTCTTTGATGTGAGAAAACTCCTACATCAAAGAGACTTGAGGAAGATCTTGATTATATAAACGGGTGTACTGTATACCCTAATAAATTAACCTTTTAAAAAAAAAATAATGTTCTTGTAACACAACGGTCATGACTTGAGTTTCATAAAACGGTATCGTTGATAAAATATTTTTTTTTTTGAAAAAAGACATATCCCTCCTGCCACCTTAGTCGGTCATGTTTCTTTAAAGGCAAAAGGAAAAAAAAAAATTATTCTCACATACTTTTTCCCATCCTATTTATAAAATACATTTTAAAAATAATTTTTAATTTAACATATAAAACATTTTATAATAATTAAATAATTTTTTGTAATTTTTATCATTTTTAATTAATATAAAAGTATTTAATATAATCATATCATTATTAGCCAAGGATACAAATGAAAGTATATATATTATTTTTTTATGATATAAAAAATAATTCTTTAATATATGTGAATTAGTTGAAAGTATTTTGTAATAAAACAAAAAGAAGTATAACAATTAAGTATCACAAAATATGATAATTATTATTTAGTTTTTAAAAATTTATATGACATTTTTATTTTTGATGAAATGATATATTTTTCCTCAGTGACAATTATATATTTAGAAATAACTATTTTGATTAGGTTATTGAGTAGATAAGGTAAAAAATTATTACTTTACACTCCCTCTATTTAAAAATATAAGATATTTTTTTAGAAGTTGAATATTAAAAAATGTAAAGCATTTTTAATCTTTTGAGGT